AACAAAACAGTATGTGGAAACATCACCAGATATTATTTTGTCTCCAATATAATTTTACATTAGTTTGTTATTCGCCGATACTCTCCATTTTTTTGCCGGTGACTTGGCACATCTGTAGCCACTGCTAGAGCAGTGTGATGGCTGTACGTGGGTGGCATCAGTATCACAATATTTAGTCTTGATGCTAGTCGGGCTCTTGGAAAACCTTTTTCAAACTGAACTTAGTTGGTGAAATACAGCTTTTGCTATAGCATAACTTTTGGATAAATAGTGGGTTTTTAAAAATGTCTAATACTCTTTTCTGTTCTAAGTGATTGTGTGTAATTCCACAGTCTGTCTGCCCTGAACTTACACTCCTCCTCATGATGAAATTGAGATTAGAAAAACTGCCGGTATCTTGAGATTCTCAGTTTGTGTTACCACTGTAAATATTGAAAGGAAAACATCTATTTTCTGCAATTCTCTGAACACATCTATTAAAGAATATATAATAACAGCCAGTGGGTATTTTCATTTGTTTGGCGTGGTTTTTTTGCTTTTACTGTTGTGAGGGTATCTTTTGAAAAAGAGCCTACCTTGGCAATTTAATCTGATTCTCTTAATTTAGTAGTGGGTTTCTAGTGGCACTCATGTGAAAGTTTTTTCCACTGTGTAAGTTTCTTGCTTTTTGTGTTAAGATAAATGTCCGTGACAGTAACCCTGTATTTAGTTGTTTATAACTTCATTTTTATTTTTATTTTTTTTTATGATCAGGTTTAAAATGTTAAGTCTCCTGGCTAAATAACAGTTGACTATTGAAAATTCTCCTGATGAAGAGAGCTTGTAAGATTTGCTCATAACATATTCTGAAATTATTCTGTAATACTTTTATTGTATTCTATGCTAGATAGGAGGCTGGCATAATATATATTATTACTGGAATTTTTATAGTTACATTACATTAATAGTAAGAATTCTGTGACTGTTTATGTGAAAATTGATGGTCAAGGCTTTTGGATTACACTTCTTGGGAAGTGGGAAGAAAAAGATGTATGTTTATCTTCATTACAACATAAAACCTTAGATATGATTAATCCGGGTAGATGCTGCCATTCCAATTACGTACTAAGTGCACCCTTTTTGATACAGCAAATATAAAGAAACTGAGTTTGTAATCAAATAAACTTACTAGACAGGCACATTCTGGCATCTACCCAAATTCTGCAGATATTAAAATCAGGGGCATTAGTAAGATCAGAGCTTTCACTTGCTCAGTTGTCTTCTCTTTAGCTGGTAGATCCCAATTACTCAAAATTATAATTTATTTTTCATAGAACACTTCCTAACAGTCTAGAAACAATAGTTTAATCATCACAGCATTTTGTAAGTAGAATGTTTGGATTTTAATTAAATAACAATAACACATTTCTGTTGTTACAAAATGTCAGTTATTAGAAGACACATAATTACTGACATATAAATGTTTGGAAAACCCATTTGATGTTTTATAAAGTCAGTACTTACCGTCACTTCCTGATGGAAATTTCAGAACAGAATTTTCATACGGTGATGCTGCTGTGAAAACGATGTAAACCACTAAATTTTCTGTATCCCTTTTCACATGAATTCTTCCCTGCCTGATGTCTGCTTGCCAGTTTGCTGCTTCTTCCCCTCAGATTTCCTGGACTGGATTCTCATTGCTTGGTGGTTTCAGTTTTTTTTCTCCAGTGCTGCTGGTGGCATGGTTTCTTTGTCTCTTCCACTTAAATTCATGCAAGAGCACATCTTGTCTAAAGATGCTGTTGCCTTTCTTTTCGGAGAACATACAGGAGAAAAAAATAATGTCTTTTTCCCCCCTCTCTCTTGCTTGCCTCCCCTTGGACAGTGTACTGTGCTCTTGTGCGTGTACCCGTAATGCTGTGAGTGATTAATGTTAGCACTTTGATGACATCAGCAACTAGCAACTCTCTTTTTTTTTTTTTGTTTAATTTAAGTAGGGGAGGGAGCAAGCATAGCTTAAAAAACAATGAACTCCATCTTTCCTTCCCTCCCTTTCCACCCCCACCCTCCCTTTGTTATTAGTGGCTTTTGTGCATCATGCGGGGGAAGCAGCGGTGGCGTGTGGTGGTGTTTTCTAAATCCCTTGTCACAGTTTCTAAAGCTCCGCTAATCCAGTGTTTACAGGTGGACCGTTTTGGGTACTTCCACATGAGGGTTATGTTAAAGAAAGGTGTATTTTTAGATTGGCTGGCTTCTAATTGTTCTGTATTGGTGAGTTTTTAAGTACTGAAATAATGTTTTTAGGGCTTACTTTTCTATGACAAATTTCTGCTGTGCAAAGAGGAGTTCCCTCCCTTTAATCTCATGGCAGTAAAATGTTTTAACCTACTGAAGTAAAATTCTCCTTGTGCTATAGCTGAAATCAATAGTTTGGATGCATTTATTGTGGAGACCTACCTGATTGGAAACATCAAAACCAAAAGATGAAATCTCGCCTTTTAGAGACAATTGTATAAAAGCTTAGTGTCTGGGGATGTTCACCTGTAGATACAGGTTTCACCAGTTCTCTCTCCCGTTGATGCCCCAGACCCTTTTTTTCTATGTGGAGAGCTGTGGAAATGCACACGTCGTACTAGAGGGTACAGCTTTAGGCTGTCCACCCGGTGGGGTGTGTTTGGAGTTTAGCCTTTTAGCCGGCTCTGATCTGATAGCAGGACCATGTCATGTATTACGAGTCTAATAATTAGCCAAGGATCTCTTTTAGTTTGTGTTCCCAGAAAAGATGGCTGAGTATTTGGGAACGGCCCTCCTCCCCAAAAGCCACACAAGCCTGCGGTCCTTAGAACAGAGCTTCCTGGACTGATGGATGGCTGAGGCCAGGGGAGCCTCCAGAGCAGGGTGACCTGCTTGGGGACCTGTTTGGTTGGGTCTCGAACATCTCCGAGGACAGAGACTCCACAGCCTCTCTGTTCGGCCACCCTCACAGCAGTGAAGTTTTCCCTGACATTTAAATGGGATTTCCCGTTTGTGCCCGTTGCCCCATGTCCTGTTGCCGGGCACCGCTGAGCAGTCAGCTCCATCATCTTTACTCCCCCCCATCAGTTACTTACGCACGTGGGTGTGATCCCCCTGAGCGCTCTCTTCTCTAGGCTGAACAGTCCCAGCTCTCTCAGCCTTTCCTCATAGGAAAGATGCTCCAGTCCCTTAATCATCTTCGAGGCCTACTGCTGGACTCTCCCATATGCCTCTCTGTGTCTCTGCAGTGCTGGGGAGCCCGCCACTGGACCCAGCACTCCAGGTGTGTCTGTCTCACCCGTGCTCAGTAGAGGGAACAGATCACTCCCTTGACTCTGCCTAACGCAGCCCTGCTGGCTGCTGGCCGCCTTTGCCACGAGGACATACTGCTGGCTTGTGGTCAGTTTCTTGTTCACCGGGACCCCCAAGATAAGAAAAACAACAAAAAAAAACCCAAACCCACCTTCTGCAGGTCAGGCTGTCTTGCTGTATGGTTTCATCACAGATGGACGTTCAGGCACGTAAGAAATATAACTAAACCTTTAAGTATATTTCAGTACTGGCAACTTTTGAATTTTCACATTGCAGCAATAAATTGCTGTTTGGAACTTCCTGTGGTTGTTGAAGCAGATAAAATTTATGTAACTTTCTGTGTGTGAGTGTCATCAAAACATATGCAAAGTTTCTCACTTATGACCTAAGTTGCCTCATTCAGAAAGTTGGTTTTGGATCTCTAGTTCTCTCTCGTTATGACCCAGATGGTCTCTTCCGAGCCTGTGCTTTCATGTGTTTCTTCATAGTGCAACAAATTTTGACGTGTGAGGGTTTGTGAAGTATAAAAGGTGGCCAAGAAATGTTAACCTGTTGCCAGAGTTGCATTCGCTATATATCAGTCTAGAGTCCAATATTTAAATTCCTGAGACCGCTGTTCAAAACATGTTGGAAACTGGTGTTTATATAGAGATTTACCAGATAAATAAAAATGTGTATGTTCTGTCCTGGTCTCTTACAAGACTTGATAGAGTTTCATGACTTGAATTCCTAGTAGTTTCTTTGTGGAGTGCCACATATTACTGTATCTGGTATTGACTGACATGGATAATTTGGGGTGGGATTTGCACTGAAGGAAGGTCAGTGTTCTTCCTGGATACTGGTGAAGGAAAATTTTCTGTTACAGCTGATGTGTGTGGAGTTGCGAGTCTAACAGTCCGCTGTCTTTCATGCATGTATTACACTGAAAACTGCGGAACGAAAAGGAAACAGAACAGAACCTTCTGCAAGAAGGGCTGACAAGATTCCCTTTTAAAATTAAATTTCAGGATATTAGGAGAACAACCCTCTTACAGAAATGGAGGGTGTTAATTTTTTGATCCGCGGCTTCAGCAAACAGTTCCTAAATCCCTACACAGCACCAGTCTGTGTGGTTGTGTTTGCTTTGAAGAAATAGTCATTAATACGGCAAAGCACCTGGTCCTATTTATACAACTCGAGAAGAATTGCCATGAGGTTACATCCCAGACTTAGATTTGCTTTGATCTTGTGTACAGCTGAGGGGTTTGAAAAAAGGGAGATGCTTATTAATGAGTCGCAGAGAGCAGTAACTACAGAAGGCTGTTTTTTTTGTAGTTGAGTCATTCAGAGATTTAAAACACCTACTATGAACTGAAAATTGAAGTAACTTCTTTCAAGATGTTTTATACATACAGGAATGGAAGCTGTGCTTTAAATTTAAGGATCTGTACATTGGCATTGACTACTCTTATCCTTTTGTACCTGTGTAAATAGAAAAGTACAAAAGAGGAAATGTTCATAGTTTTATAAATGGTAAGTGGAAGATGCCTAGTGGAAAAAAAAGTGTTTAGGAAGCTTTGTGTTATTGCTGGAGAGTGAGTGAGATCTGAAGTTATGTTATTTTTAATATGCTTTAAAATGCTGTTTAAGTGAGATTATTATGAAGATGCAGTCATCTGAAATTGCCATTAATCATACCTGTTCTCTCGTTTTAGGCGTTGAATCTGGCGTATTCCAGCATCTACAGCAACTACAGGAATTTTGTTGGTCCTCCTCACTTTAAAGTCATCTGTAGACTTCTTGGGTATCAGGGTATCGCTGTGGTGATGGAAGAGTTGCTGAAAGTTGTCAAGAGCCTGGTATGCTAATTGCCTTTCATTTTCTGCTATTCCAAATGGTTTCTGATAAGAAATATCTCAAGAAAAACAAAGTCAAAGTAAGATCTCAGATAAAACTAATTAAAATGTTGCTTCCGTTGAAGTTCAGTATAAGCTGTGTTGGAGCGTACTCAATGTCTTGTGAGAGCAACAGATGTGCCTTGGTAGCTTGAGCAGTGTTTTGAAAACCTTGGATTCTTCACTGGAGATGAATTTAATTTCTGGAGACCTATGCTGTTAGGTCCTGGGTAACCTCTGGAAAAGTGTGAATGTTTAAAATTAGTTGATTTTGACTTAAAGATTGTACTGTAAATTCACTTTCTCGATATTTTTGAGAACAGCTGGAGTGTGCTTTCTGCCTTGCCTGACTTCAGGGCTTTCATTAATAACATCATTGACAGATGACGCCTTAATAACGAGGAGGGTTTAATCTCTGTGCTTGATCTAGCAATGGGTAGCATCAAGGCCATTTAGAGGAGTGCTCAGAGCAGATGTTGCAGAAGTCATCCATGCAGCCTGGGTATCTTGTACTGGAAAGGGCCTTTTCTGCAACCGAGAGGAGGTTGAGGGGCTGGCTGTTTGCTATGTTGTTACTGTCTGTGTACACAGTCATAGTGCGTTGCAGTTAAGTTTAGGCCAAAGAAATTGCCTTTTCCTCTCTGTCCCTGTTGCCTGTAAGGAGCAAGCTGCCAGAATAATCCAGCTATACCGGGGCGGAGGGAATAGCTGTAGTATTGATAGTCTCACTCCAGAGACTTGGCACATTCCCAAGTTTGTTTACAGTAATTCCCACAATTTTCTAAGTACCTTTTTGATGTTCTAGAAAGGCTGGAGCCTGCTTGGAGGGGTGTTGTGGTCTACTGGGAAGGAGGGAAACCCAGCTATTTTTTGTGGTTTTGGGCTTGAGTGTTGCTTTGTTGTTTGTTTTTTTATTATTTATTTAGGTGCTAAATCATCCCAATTCATTAAAGGTAGCATTGAGCACTTGGGCATTTATAAAGAAGGTTAAAAGGCCTTGGGGGGAAGGTATCCTGCTGGTGCCTGGTGCAGACGCTTAGATATAGGGAGACAGATATGAGATAGGTGGGAAGAAGGCAGACTGACTGTAGGCTGTGACTGTGTCTTAACTGGTATGGCTGGAATGGCCGGTTTGAGCTGTTACAGATGTGCCTAACGCTTAGGATTTTTATCATGTTGTTTTTGAAGGCATTCAAATGCAACTTTTTAACCAAAAATCTAAAAGTTGGTTAGATAATAGAGACAGTCTGCAAGAGAAGAACATGATTTCCTCTTTTTTACCATCCTGGCCTTAGCTGTTGTGCTGCTTTTCCTGTAGCAAAAAGTGTCTAATGCCACATGAAGGAAAGTGCAACTGTATTCATTTGAAAAAGTTGCCTTTTTGAAGATGATGATGGAGAGAATTAAACGCAGCATTTTTAGAGCTTGTTCAATTCATGGGTAGGTTGAATGCAATTTATTGTAAAGTTCCTTAGTTCGGTAACACTGACGTCTTCACACGCATCTGTTTTCTCTTAGTTACAAGGGACGATTCTTCAGTATGTCAAGACCCTAATGGAAGTGATGCCTAAGATCTGTAGGTTACCAAGACACGAGTATGGTTCTCCAGGTTAGTTCGTGTTTGGTGTTACCATAGCAGCCTTCATAAGATGATACTAACCCCTGCCTTCTGGATCACGTGTACCTCTGTCTTTCCCTGCCCTTCTTCTCTCTCCCAATAATCAGCACTTAGTCTGGTGTCTGTTTGTTCGTTTGTTTGTTTTTCATAACAAGAATCATTGAATGCTGGGCTTTCCGAAAGTACTTAATAAAGTTTTAAGCTTTCTGTGCTTAGGGCAAATGAAAGGATGACAGTCTGTCTATAGACAGCCTTACGATGTAATTGTGGGATGGGATGTTCACAATAGTTTCTATTTCTAGTCTTTCTTATAAGCGTGTTGAGCTTTTGCCTCTGCAAGTTGGCCTCTCACGCTCTGTGTAAATGTCTCAGATAACCCGGATTCTCTGGAAAAGGCTCTATTCCCTCTTTCTTTGTCCTTATCAAATGTAAGATAAAAGGAGTGATACTGCTGAGAGGCGAACTGGTCCTGCCAGAACAGTGGTGTCCTGAGGCTTGTGTGGGGCGCATCCTAGCCCCATAACAGGAGGTGTGACAGTTGCAGAAGAAGAACTTACTTTCAAAGCTGCTTGCCACTATGGAGAAATTGGCTAATTAGTATTTATCACATTGTTCACTGAAATTCTGAAACTGCTTCCCCCCCCCTTCAAAATATTCCTCCTCCACAACTTCTAATTAACACAAATTAATCCTTCCATGTGCCACCCACCTCCTGAGTATATCTTTATTTTTCCAGAGTCGATTAAGTTTATTAAATGCCGCTCCAACTGGAATGAGGTTGGTTTTTTAATGCTTCCCACAGCTTGCTTGACGCTCATTACCAACGTTAAATGAAATCAAGCACTTACTAAGTGTTTCCTTCCTGTTTTTCTCCCTGGAGCGTAGAAATGGATGAATCATGGTAGTTAGCAGTATAAAAATAATCTATCTGAGGTTTTTAGCCTCTCATTAAGGTCTGACCACAAAAGCAGTAGGTATTCTCAAATACAGATTATGCATCACTAGGGTCTGTGGTGCTACAGGTGACATTAGGAAGCTCATAGTCTCTTGCCAGAAATCCTCACCTGTAAGGAGTTAGTATTTGGCAGGAGGTGCCCAGGGACTTAAGCAGAAACTTTCTCTAGAGGTTAAAAGGCAATCCATCCTATCAGAAAGCCAAAACTTTATTGTGCAATAGTGGCCTTCACAGGATTGATTAAAACATTTTTAAATCCTTCACCACTTTCCTTTTTTCTTAGATCACAAACTGCTTTGACCTTATATTTACTCTTGCAAAAGAAATCCCGTTATGTTTAGATGCCCACTGTACCAAGAGATCAGAGTAACTCTTGGTTTTATGATGGAAGATCATAGCAACTAGGATTGGACTGGATCTCAAAACCCCAGATTCTCTGCTGCTTCACTGCCCCTGTTGCTGACAGGGTTTGTCCCAATACATGTATTTTTTCCTGTTCTGAACTACTTCTAGCATATAACCTCCCAGGGAGTCTCTTCCAAGAAATGGCAGAGACAGCCTTTATACACTGTCATGCCACCATTCCCTTTCCTTTCGAAGACACTAGACAGAAAAGTCACGTGGAAGCTCAGGGCACCTCCATCCCTCTCTCGCATCACTGCAGAATCGCGTTGCGCTCTCTGACGTCTCCCCATCGTGGAGCTGTCTGCCCTTGGAGCAGCTCTGACTGGTAAAGGACAGTGTTGTCTGTGACGGCGACGTGCTGTAGATGTAGCCCTCATCTGCCATCTTGAGAGGAACTGCCGGATTGTAGAAGGGCAGGCTCAAACCGTGCTTGATTTGAATCCCTGTCCTCTCCTTTCTGTGCTAAATTCTCCCAGGTAGCAGTCTTTGCCACACCTTGTTTACTTGGTTCGCCGCAGAAAATACAAGCTAACACATGCCAACTGTTGTCTGGTCCCAAAACTTCTGCCTCCGAAAGCTTCCTGTGGAAGTTAGTAGTTGTAGTAGTGAGTGCTATGGGGCATGTCTGTGCTGCTTCTATTCTTTTGTCACAAATCCTTTAATCACTTCGCTGTGATTGGTGCTACCTACAGATACAGCCCAAAACTCTGATTCCAAAGTACAGATTGAATGCGTAGATTCTCATCTGTCTTGATGCAACATGCATTTATCAATGCAGAATTAATTTCCTGAGTTCGTTCTCCATATGCAAAGCGATTTAAGTGTGCTCAGCAAGTAAGCCTCTAGCTATTTCATACACTTCGGACTTTTCATTTGGAGAGCTTTGTTTGGGCTCTGTTGATTGCAGTTCCTTGAGCCCTACATAATCAGCCCTCTAGACTTGTGGATTTCTAAACGGTGATTTACTCCTGCTAAAAGGAGCAGGGTACAGACAGTGGCATCAGAGTTGTTCAGGACTCCTGTTTGCCAACGGGTTTGTTTCCATAGGAACAGTCTAATGCAGTGGGGAACTTGCTCAGCTTGTAATCATAAAAATATTTGTCTAAAAATACATTAAGCATAAGTATTTTTAAAGGGACCTTTTAAAGTTGCTAAAGCTCTTAAAGGAATATTGGCCTGTGAGTTGAAACCTGAAATTTCATCTTGGAGGTAACATTTT